GCTGTCCCCCTAGAAAGTGAGCCAAAATGAAGCCTTGCCCCCTTGAGTTATTTGGTCACTGAGAGGAGAAACCAAGTGAGAACACTTGTGGCATACATTACACACACACACACACACACAGGTGTCCTGTTTCAACTCAATATGCTCCCCCCCATCAACGATGAGTCATGCACACTTGGCTTTCAGCTGGTGTAACAACTGTCCCAGCAGAGCCCTTGCAAATGCAAAACACAGAGAGCTAATCCAATAAAAAAGAAAAAGGCAATCAAGCTCAGAATGTAAACAAAAAAAGACTGAAGGATAAGGCGGGAGCGGATGCTATTTGCAGGAGGAAAACGGACCTCTAAATCGTTATGAAGACTAAACAAGAAAGGCACAGATGGGCCTCGGCAGCATTAATCTACCGGATTGCAATCGGCTCTTCAAATTCCCAGGCTTGATTCACACAGAGCTGGGCAGAACTACTTCTGACAAGGGCATCACACTTTCCAGACTTCAACCAGCTCAGGCAAAGGAGGAGGCCACCACCAGATGCGAGTGCACTTAATCACACCACCTGCAGAGGGCTGAAGAGGGTGCTGCGGGACAGCAGCCAGATGGCAGCTTCTCCACAAACTGCCACCATCAAAGGGCGTGGGGAGTGGGTGCTGAGAGATGGCTCAGTGACTAAGAGGCTAAGAGCATTGTTGTTCTTCCAAAGGACCAAGGACCTGAGTTCAATCCCCAGCACCCACGTGGCCGGCTCACACAGAGGATCTTCTGACCTCAGCAGGTTAAAACGAAGAATAAAACTTAAGGGCCCGTGAGACTGCTCAGTAGGCGAATGACGGCCAGCCTAGCTGCATCCCTGGGTCCCACTGGGCACGAGAGAAGCAATTCCTACAAGTCCTCGGCCTCCAGCCATACACTGTGGCATGTGCCTTCCACATAAATAAATTTAATTCATTATCCCTGCTGGCTAGGGATATTGTTCAGTGGTACATTTTTTTTAAAAGCATGTCTAAGGTCCTGGATTTCATCCCCAGTATTAATAACAACAATACCATAAGTAACAAAAAGGTATTTCTAAGAGACATGTTTCAATATTTTTTTTGTTTTGTTTTGGAGACAGGGTTTTTCTGGGTAGCTCTGGTTGTCCTGGAACTTCCTATAGACCAGGCTGGCCTTGAACTCAGAACTCTCTCTCTCATGCTTGGATTAAAGGCGTGTACCACCAGCCTGACTTCAATATTTATCTTTAAGCATGTAATTTTTAGTTACCTTGTGTCACTTGAGTGTAGCAGGTGTGGTGGGTTGAGTAAGAATGGCCATCAGAAGCTTATAGATTTGAGTGCTTGGCCACCAGTGAGTGGCACTATTAGGCGCTGTGTGTGGCTGGGCCTTGTTGGAGGAAGTGTAGGCTCTGAGGTTTCGAGGGCTCGAGCCAGGCCGGTGCCTCCCTCTTCCTGCTGCCTTCGGATCCAGATGCAGAGATCATCTCAGCCGCCTCTCCAGCACCGTGTCTTCCTGCACGCTGCCATGTTTCCTGCAATGACGATAATGGACTAATCCCTAAACTGTAAGCCAGTCCTGATGAAATGTTTTCCTTTATGAGAGTTGCCATGGTCATGGTGTCTCTCCACAGCAATAGAGCACTGAGACAGACAGAAAGCTAGCGTTACAGGACACTGTGAGTTGCCCAGTATGGATGCTAAGAACCAAACTTAGGGCCTCTGGAAGAGCAGTGAGCACGCTTGAGTGCTGGAAAACTTCGTTTGTTTGTTTGCTTGCCATGCCCTAACAAAGAAGCCACAGCAGTTATGTTATACCCCAGGGGTCTCGCTCTGTGGTCCAGACTAACCTGGAACTCATGACTATAGTCCAATTCCTCTGCCTCAACCTCCCAAGCACTGGGGTTTACAGATTTGAGCCACGTAGCTGTCTAATTCTTCTCAATCAGGTTCCAGGATCCTCATCAATCGTCGCCTCACTATTGATTAACCAGCCCAGGGCCCTCAGGAGGGCATTGACCCTGAGGCCAGAGCTGCTCTTGCTCTACTCGGCCCAATGCTTGCATTTTCTCAAAGAAATACCCAGTTTAAAAAAGAGGCTAAATGTGCTTCTCTTTTTGTTGAGACAGGTCTCATGTAGCCCAGGTTAGCTTTGCACCCCTGATCTGCTTACCGCCACCTCCCAAGTGCTGGACAGGTGTGTGTCACACCACGGAGCTCAAATATGTGTAGCCACTCAAATCCTTGCTGTCTGATCTTGGACATGAAGTCCTGGAAACAGGGTTTAGGGGATGGCAACATCTTTTTCTTTATTTGAGACAGGGTCTCACTGTGTAGCCCGGGCTGTCCTGGAACTTGCTATGTAGCCCAGGCTGGCCTCCAACTCACATACGTCCACCTGCCTGTCTCCTGAGTGCTGAGATAAAAGGCATTTGCTGCCCTTTTTTGAGGCACTTTTTAAATACACCAGTGGAAATATGAGGTGGGTGGGTTAAGGCAAAGCCAAGAATGTCCGTTACAGACCTCAGATGCTCCTGAACCTTCAGTTGATGGCAGGCAGGTTTCTGTACATACCAAAGGGTTTACTTAATGGTCAAGGTCACAGACAGGATAGCTGACATCCAGAGAAGGGCAAAGAAATGGCTGAGAGGGAGGCTCGAGATGGCTCAAGATATCAGACCCTGGGCCTGCGACGCTCCAGAGTCACCTGTCAATCAGCCTTGTTCAGTGAAGCTGTTCTTTCCAGAGACTTCTGTCCCCAGCATCTGAGAGCATCTCCATGTGCCGGGACTGCCAGTGCAAACAATGGAGTTTATGATAAACACACACACCTGCCTTCCTTCGGGGAGTGTGGCGGCGGCCGGGACGGAGGCTGCCGGGATCAGACCCCAGTGAGACCCTTCTGTGCCAGGTGTGACCTAGTGGGCATTCCTGGTCGGCACACAGCCCAGGTGGCTGTGGAGTGTGACCTGGGTGTGGCTGTGAGGTGTGACATGCCTGTGGCCCGGAGGTACAGACCAACATATGTAACTCTACTCACAGCACGCCCAGACTCGGGCCTGGTCCTTACAATCTGGGAATGGACATGTAACACTGGAATAAGCCTTAGCTCAGTCCGGCCAATCATTCTGGCAGATGTCCTGTTCAGGGATGGTCCTTGAGCTTTACTGTGCACCTGGAATCGGACTGGCTATTGCCTGGAAACCTTTCCCCGGATTGCACTGTTTTAAACATGCTGACAATGACTCGTCTGCCTTTAGACTTGCCAGTCAGTGTGCACTGGGTAGGAAGGGACCCCCTCACAAGACACCATTTTCAATGAAGACTCATACGCCTTTCATCCTTTGTGTCCACCGCGTTGTGTAGCGCCCCCCCCCCCCCAACTCCACCTATCTCCTTTTACTTGGCGAACTCATTAAGTCTCCCTTGCTCCACCTCCTACAGCCACCATTCTGTCCTCTCTGAGCTTTGACTGGCAGGTCCCTCCTGTAAGATGAGTCCTATAGCAGTTAACTCTTCACTGGCTGGCTTACCCACCCGGGCTGAAGGATGTGTCACAACAGACTCCCCTTTTAAAGGATAAATACTATCCACTCTGTGCAGTAATCGCATTTCCTGTTTGTTTTCTGGTCTTGGTTTTTTTGTTTTTGTTTTTTTTTTGTTTTGTTTTGTTTTGTTTTTTTGGAAACAGGGTCTCTCCATATTGATTTGAATGGCCTACAATTCCCTATGCTGGCTTTGAATTCTCACAGCTTACAATGGGGAACATGGCACAGCTGTCAGGAAACAGACCAGAAGTTGGGTTCCCAACCTTCCGCTCATGTCCTTTCCCGGTTGACAGTATTCACCACGAGTCCTACAAGCTCTGAAAAGATACGGCTTCCTCTTATGAAGACACTGGCTGTTAGGGATGGGCTGCTCAGCCACCTTCCACCCACACAGCCTCATGGCCTGTCTTCAGCAAGCTTGGGAATGCAGGACTGGTTTCTTTTCATCCCGAGTCTCTGTGCATTATTTGGGGCTGGCAGCATGGCGGCAGGACAAGACCAGGTGGTGGGAAGAAAAACCGTACTCGTTACAAGCACCAGCTGCTCTTCCAGAGGTTCTGAGTTCAATTCTTAGCACAACCACCTATAACTGTGGTTCCATGGGATCCGATGCCCTCTTCTGGTGTGCATACATGTAAATAAAACATCTACATACATCAAATAAATAAATAAATCTCTAAAGCCCAAGGCATTCCCAGTTAGCTCTTGTCTGCCTCCTACTTGTCCTCCACTATCACAACTCCATGCATGTCTGCTGCCGCTGCCATGACTCACCATCTGGGACTTTAAGCCCCAGTAAACCCTTAAATTCACTGCCTTGGTCATGGTGTCTCTACATAGCAAGAAAAAAGTAACTAAGACACTGCAAACTACTAAGACACTGCAAACTCATCAGACGGTTCCCAACTGCCTGGAACTGCAGTTTATGAGGATCCATTGTCCTTCCAACTCCCATGAGCTCTGCAAACATACAGACAAGCATGCAAACACACGGTAACACACAAACAGGCAAACACAGACAAGCACACAGGGAAACACACAGACAAGCACACAAACACACGGTAACAGACAAGCACACAGTAACACACAGACAAGCATGCAAACACACGGTAACACACAGACAAGCAGGCAAACACATATACACATAAATAAATTTATAGAAAGAACTAAAAGATGAAATGTTGTCATTATATAAGGTGATGGTTATTCACGCTTATGCGCATCACATACACACACATCCCACCGGGGAGTCTGAGCCAAGTGTTTAGACCGGAAGAGCAAGAGCTGGAGGTCAACCTGGAGTACATAGTCATAACGGACTATCTCAATAGTGAAAGTGTGAGCTCCTTCGGGAGACAGCCCGCAGGACTTAGGCATTCTCTCAGACAGGAGAGCTGCACAGAGCCCACTTGGAGGATGGAGGTTTTCTTTACTGTAACTGTCAGGAAAACCACAGCAAAAGTCCCGGAGTAAACATTCTTTACTTCTCTAAATAAGCTTTTATTAATCGACAAATGGCAGTCTTTACTTCATTTCATGACATGTAACTGGCTACTCCTCGCCAGGAAGGGTAAGAGGACTTGTTCAACAAAGCATTTCAAGAGAAGCTAAGGTCTCGTGCCGAGTGTGCGTGGTGGCGTATTCTCATCATCCCAGCATTCTAGAGGCAAAGGCAGGAGCATTTTCTGGCATACAAAGTCCAGGCCAGTCAAGGCTGCATATCAAGCTCCTACCTCAAAAAAGACTGGGCATTTTAAATTGTGTGTTGGGCACACTCTACAACCCAACCCCGGAGGCAGGGGGAGGGCTGCAAGTCCCAGGCCAGCCTGGGCTACACAGTGAGGCCCTATCTCAAAACAACTGTGTCTCAGCGCCCTCACCATTTATTTGAAAGTCCTTCCCAGAGCCACGCGTGGAGTGGCATCTGCTTCCTGGTCCTAAGTAGTGAAACATACTCCACAGCTCGCAAGAATCCTGAGTGACACATGGCATTCCAGGCAGGGTCTTTCCGTGAGAAGGAGGACGAGACATGATTGTGGGAAGCTGAGGAAGGTGGGTGGACAAACGAGGGCTGGAGCTGACAACAGGGTTCCCTAACTCTCCTGCTTTAAACCGTGAGGCTCCGTGAGCTCAACGCCAGAGTCTCCGCCAGACTCAACGTCATCGTTCATCGGTTATGCAGGCAGCTGCTTGAACTAGCTCTGTAATGTGACCGTCTGTTTCTTGGAGACTTGGGCCTCATCAAATACTTCGGTAGTCAGAGCCTCGGGCCACGATGGCAGCAGCATCCCACTCCACAGTGAAGAATGAAACGGTTCCAAGAAACCCAAATATCACCATGACCAGGAGCTGCCAGTGGAGGAGGAGGTAGTTGCTGTAGAAAAAAGCCACAGCTGCGCAGATCGACTAGAATAAACCAGACAGATCACCTAGTGAGCACAGAGCCTCAGCAACTCCAGCCAGCCTGCTCCTTTCTGCCCCAAAGGACACCTGTGACTGGCAGTGCCCATGGAGACAGGCTTCACTGGTCACCCGCCCACCGCTACCCCAAGCTTGCCCAACAGCAACAATCGGGTAAGCTGTGGGCTAACACAATAGAGTGCTGAGTGGGAGGGCGAGCCTGTGTGGTGAGAGAATGGATCCTGGCACCCGATGACAAGCCCTTTCACCTGAGTGCACAGACCAGAGTTAAACTCTCTCACCCAGCCAGGCACGAGGCAGGTGGATCTCTGAGTTGGAGGCCAGCCTGATCTACAAAGTGAGTTCCAAGTTAGCCAGCGTTACACAGAGAAACCCTGTCTCGAAAAACAAAAACACTCTCAACCAACCAAGGCCACCTGGTTCTACTTACTTCACAGGAACCCGACCTTCATCTAAAACCAATGGGGGCAAGAAGGGGAAGGACGGCAGGGTAACCCAGTTTACCTGAACAAACTTGAAGACTGCAAAAGCTGGCGCACTGTCCTCTGAGTAGAGAAAGCCCAAAATGCTAAGCAGCTGGGTGTTGAAGCAGCTGTCTCCCAGGCCCAGCAGAAAACTGCAGAGAATGGCAACTTCTTTGCTGAAGAAAAGAAAACACACGCAAGACTAGAAAGGTGAGCCCAGCCGTGGTGGCGCACGCCTTTGATCCCAGCACTCTGGAGGCAGAGGCAGGCGGATCTCTGTGAGTTGAGGCCAGACTGGTCTATAGAGTGAGTTCCAGGACAGCTAGGGGCTGTTACACAGAGAAACCCTGTCTCAAAACACAAAAACAAAACCAAAAAAAAAAAAAAAGAGAGAGAGAGAGAGAAAAGGCCTGGAAAGGTGGGTCAGTGGTGGGGGGGGGGTAGGCCTGGAAAGGTGGGTCAGTGGTGGTGGGGGGGTAGGCCTGGAAAGGTGGGTCAGTGGTGGGGGGGGTAGGCCTGGAAAGGTGGGTCAATGGTGGGGGGGTAGGGCAAAGGTGGTCTAGTGGTTAGGGGCATGTGCTGCTTCTGCAATGGACCTGAGCTTAGCTCTCAGAACCCACTTCCAATGGCCCACAGCCATGTGACTCCAGCATCAGCTGACCTGATACCCTCTTCTGAACTCAAACATCCATAACCCCACAAACACACATATATAATTTAAATAAAATGTACGACAGGCACACACTTTTAATCCCAGGACTGGGGAGGCAGAGTCAAGTAGACCTCTGTGAGTTCCAGGACAGCCAGGGTTATGGAGGGTCTCTACCCTGTCTCAAAAAAAACAAAAATAAAATACAAATGAACCTTTAAAATAAATTTAACGTGTAGCAACAATATTATTACCACCAGAATATAGAAACAAGATTCCCAACAAAAGCACAGTACACTTGTTTTGTTTGGTGAAGGGGCTGCTGGGAACTGAGCCCTGGGACTTCCGAATGCTGGGCAACCCCTGGCACTGTACAACTTCACAGTCCTGCTTTGAGACGGCTCCAACATAGAACCCAGGCTGGACTGGAATGCATGACCCCCCAGCCTCAGCCTCCTCAGAGCTAGAGTCACAAGTGTGCGCATACATCCCAAACAAGAACAAATAAACACTAATGTTTCTGCCGCCTTGTCTGCGGTATTGGGATTAAACCTAGGACCTTGCAAAGACTGTGAGGCCAACATTTCACTCACAGTGTCACGAATCCAGCCCACGTCCTAGAATTTGTGCAGTGAGAAATTATGCTCAAACTCACAGACCTTTGTGTTCTAGCAAACCCTGGTCTACTCTCTGGAAAGCGAATACTGTCTTTGGGCTCCCTTGGGTTGTGGGTTTATCCACAGACACTGCACCTATAATGAACCAACATCCTTATGCTGTGACACAGACATGTCATTCCTCTTTGTCCCTCCTCTAACAATGGAACAGTTCCCTGCTCAAAAAGCAGAGGATGAAACTCTGATCAGACACTTCTGATAAATCAAGCGAAGACCGGTAGGGGAAAGGTTAAAAGCAACCATTGCAAAAACTGCCTTGGGACACTCTGGGTCCCCAGTCAACTCCTCCTAGCTCCATCTCTACTTGACAGAAGACTGAAAGCTGACAGGCCTGAGGAGGACTCCGTGCTCCATTTCCCTCCTCCTGCCCACCCCAAACCACTCAGAAGCAGCAGCCACTGTACCTGGGCCTGATGTACGCAACACTGTCAGTCCCTTCCACGGGGGCGATGGGCGCATCTCCGGGCATGTTGAGGAAGATCAGGTAGAAGGCTATTAAATGCACCAGGGAGCCCAGCAGCACCACTGGGTTCCTGCCGAATCGATTATTCTTGCTCAGCAGGCCGAAGAGGCTTCCACCTGAGGGTCACGACAAACACGTCAAAGGTCCCAGCCATCACTAAGCCAGTCACAGGGAGAACGCTCAGACGTCCACTACCTGCCCTCAAACAGGCCCCCAAAGTCAAGCAGCGGGGTGACTCCGGTATTGACAAGCGGTCTCTTCTAGACGGCACCCTTCTTGCTCTTGCTGTTGCTTTCTGGGAGTTACGGCATGGGAGCAACTCCCTTCGCAGTCTAGCTACTCAGAGAGCTAAAAAGGCGCAGCTCAGCAGCTACTACTGTTGTTCTGAGACTGGGTCTCAGGTAGCCCAGCCCTGGGACTGCGGGTCATGCCTCCACTTCCCCGGTGGTGGGATCACGGATGTAGTCACACACCCTGAGCTTCTGTTATAATCACAGCTTGTCCAGGAATCATGACCGGAAGTAATCACTGGGGACCTGCAGACTGCCATAAGCTCAGAGTGGCAACGAAGACTGTCAGGACGGTTCACCCGTGATAGCTTAGTGCCACGGCAGCCGGCATGTCCTTTAGTCCTAGTGACTGAGAAGGCTAAGGAGGAGGGGAGCAAAAGTTCAAGGCCTGCCCCAACTACAGTGAGTTCAAAGCCAGTCTGGGTAACTTGGTGAGATCCTGTCTCAGAATTTTAAAGACAGAGTGGGGGTAGCAGCTGGCTCGGTGGTACAGTGCTTGGTCTTTTATGTACAAGGTTCCAGGATTAATTCTGACCGTGAAAAATAAAAAAAGTTAACAGTTAGAAACCTTCCGATGTGAGCCGGGCAGTGGTGGTGCGCACCTTGAATCCCAGCACGTGGGAGGCAGAGGCAGGCAGATCTCTGTGAGTTAGAGGCCACATAGTGAGTTCCAGGACTACACAGAGAAATCCTGTCTCAAAAGACAAAAACAAAAAGCCTTCTAATGTTGGGCTGGAGAGATGGCTCAGTGGTTGGTTAAGAGCTCAAATTGCTCTTCCTGAGGACCTGAGTTCAATTCTCAGCACCCACATCAGATGGCTTACGATTGCCTACAACCCCAGTCCCAGGGGAATCTGACACTTCTGACCTCTGTGAGTACTTGAATTCATGCGCACAAACCTTCCCACACACAACTAAAATAATAAAATTAAATTAAAAAAATAAAAAAAGCTTCTAATGTACACAGGGCTTGGCGGTACACACCTGCAACAAAATTTGAGGTTAGCTTATTCTATTATAGTGAGTTCCAGGTCAGCCAAGAGCTACACAGCAAGACCATCTCAAAAACAACAGCAACAACAACACAAAACCCGCCATTCTATAGCACCGAATGCTAACTATGGTTAATGACAATTATCTGTAGGTTGCAAAGTAGCTGGCAGGAGGGATTTGGAAATCCCTAGAGAAATGATACAGACTCAGGTGCTGATGTGCACAGTACCCTGCTCTGGGACCCTGGCGTCACACGTCCCCCTGTGCTTGTGGTACGGTCCCTCTGGAAACAGGGTGGGGTCCCTCACAGTCTGTCTGTCACCCTGCATTCTCAGCTCCCTGAGATCTTTCTAGCCCTGAATGTGAAGCCAAGTGAGATAGGGTGGCTTGGGGACCCCCGGGCTCGCGGCTAGTCTGAGGGAGGGGTGAGCTGCAGGCCTGTCACAGGCCCTTAGACACAGCTTCTACAGTGCGGACCCGCCTGTGCCCATAGGAACTGAAGGCAGGGGAGAGCCCGGTTCCGCCTTTTCTTTCCGGCCCTCTCTGCTGCCTGCGCACACACGGGTCACCACGGGTCTGTGAAACTGACGGCATCCAATCTTTCTCCATCCAACTTTGACACTGAAAGCACAACGCTACTAGTCCCAGGGGACATTACCGTCTCTGTCCTATCCCCAGGCCCCACAAAGGTGCCAGCGGGTCTCTAGCCCCCCATCTCCCTGCCTCTGCCTCTCAAAGGTGGGATTAAAGATGAGGGCCACCACCTCCCAGAGAATAAAATGTTTTTAAACTAAAAAACAAAATGCAAACCAACCTACCTAAAATTTCTCCAGTGCCGATGAAAATTCCAGAGAGTCCGATGAGGCTTTTCTCTTCTGTCCCAAATTTGTTTACGGCCCCAATACAGGTCCCATACACCCCAGAGAAGAAAGTGAGCTCCAGACCTCGGGGAGAGAAATCAGCTTTTAACCATTACACAGTCCTTTCCCGACTTCCGCTTGTGTCCAGCAGCCAGCTAAGCTTGAGACATATGACATGAACACAAAAACCAAAAAACTCAGAGACTAAAATGCTTTGCAGGTGAACAGCTTTACACTGTGTAAATAACCAGATGGTCCTCTCCAAAAGCCTACAAGCAACTTAACTCTCTCCACACTGTGGCTTTGCAGGCACAGCCTTCAGGTGATGGGCCCACAGGATGGGTCCCTCATGACAGGGTCGGCAGTCTTACAGGACACACCAGGTGGCTTGCTTCCTGCTCCCTGCCAGCCCTGTGACCACACAGCAGGATGACAGCTAAAAGAACCTTCCCCAGAACCTGACTGTGATGACACTGGCTCTGATTTCTTAGGCTCTAAAACCATGGGAAATCAATGTGGTTAGTAGCTGTTGGTGTTTTTGAGACAAAGTCTCACTGTGCAGGCTAAGGTTAGCCTCGAACTTGCATCTTTCTGCCAGTATGTGCCATAACATCAGATTCAGACTGGTTTTGATTTTTGTTTGTTTGGGCTTTCTTTTTTTAAGATCTATTTTATTTTTATATATATGGTGTTTTGCCTCTAGGTATGTCTATGCACCACTGCGTGCAGTGCCCAAAGAGGCCAGAAGACAACGCTGGATCCTTTGGAACTGGGGTTACACAGGAGCCACCGCGTGGGAGCTGGGAATCAAACCGCCCCCCGCCCCAAGAACAACAAATGCTCTTAACCCCTGGACCATCCCTCCAGCCTGACTCCCACCCCAAAGGCAGAGGTTCAACCCATTGCCCTGCATTTGCTGGGTGAATGCTCTGCTGCTCGACCACACTGAATTGGGGCTAGCACTGTGCCTGGCTGTCACCAACAGATCCGAGTAGAGGTGATACAAGGCACCAGGACAGCCTCTCAGGAAAGGTTGCTCAGCCACCGTGAGGTCTGGCTTTCCTGTCAATCACACGGAGAGAGGAGGTGGCTCAAATGGCTGTGCAGAGCCCTGAAGCCACACGAAGGTGAAGGCTAAGTAAAAGAATATGACTCAATCTTCCATCAGATACCAGGAAGGTGCTGGACACACGAACAAAACTGTCCCGGAGGCTCTGGCTACAGATGCCCTCTGGGAGCAGCCTCGGGAGGTGGTGTAGGATAGACAGCATTGGTCAGTCAGAGCAGAGCGTGAGGAGCGATGCCGAGCTACTGTTTAGTCTCCTCATCATCACCCAGCTCGTACCTGTATAGGCAGTCGTAACACTTAGAAGGAGCATCTCCTTGGTGACACATAACTTCAGAGACTTTTCTGGAAGGAGAAAAATTGGACAGTCTTAGCTAGATTTTAATTGGCAACCAAAAGTTCTAAAAACAATTTCCTTCATCCAGAGTATTCTTCTCATCACCGAAGCCAGTAGGTAAACAAAGAACCTAACTTTCCAGATTAAAATGCATGAGGCATGAACTGACTCTGCCCTGTAAATGAGTGTTTATTCTGGAGACACACTGTCCTCATGCACGTTTAGCTCTCAATAACCAGAGGGGAGGGGAAAGAAGCCAGAATAGCACAAGACAATGAAACACTTGACTCAACAGACAGGCTGCCCAGGGAGTCAGTCAGGTCAGGTTGGAACCACCTGGGGATTCCTGACCCACAGAGTCTGGTCTGCAGTCAGCTTGCCATCTGCCTCTGCACTGAGCAGGGTGAGATCTGCTGGGGAGAATGCAATTCTAACCCACCCCCCACCCAGAAGACAGGGTCTCACGCTGGCTCAGACTACACTGAAACTCACTATGCAGTCCAATATAGTCTGGGACAAGTTGAGCTTCCTGTCACTGCCTTGAGTGTTAGGATTCAGACCTAAATTACCATGCATGCAACATTTCATCTGAATTTGTCTGTCTTCCTTCCTTCCTTCCTTTCTTTCTTTCTTTCTTTTTTTTTTTAAGACAGAATTTCCTGCTCCCTAGGCTAGTCCTGAATTCCTCAGTAGCTGAGGTTCCTGACCCTCTTGGCCCCCAAGTACTGGAATTACAAGGCTGAAATGGAAGGGTCTATAGGTTTCAGGCCATACTGGGCTACACAGTGAAAATCAGTCTAAAAAAAGTTGCTAAGTTACTGTTTCTGCAAGTTTCTCTTCAATCCTCTGACCCCCTGACCACAAATGGATCTTCTGGCAGACGAGTTTCTAGACTAGAAGCTGGAAAGACAGAGTTCGAATGGAGGTGACCTCCCATTTTAGTCGGGAAACTTGGCTATAACCTATTTACTTATAACCAAACCCCAATTTGTAATTATGAATGCATCCCTGCAACACAGGAAGTGTATAAAAGCCAGATTAAACAACTCTAATGACAGGGCATCCACATCCTAGGTCCTTTCTAAAAACAGGCCTTGTACCATCTGAGCCAGGCCACAGCTGATGAGATCAAGAATTTCCACTCTAGCAAAAGGGACCTAGCAACTCATACTGGGAAGTTCTGAGATCTGGTGGCCTATAGCAGGCTACTCCTATGAATAGTAGCTGCTTCAGCAAGGGCCTTTCCTGGGAAGCAAAGAAGCTGAGAGGCTGTGGGCAGATGCTGGAGTCAGAAGCCCACCTGTGTCCAAGGGAATGCTTGACTCCCGTGTGAGTCCCTGACTCTGCCTGCTAAGTCAATCCAAGCTCAAATCCACTTCAGCCACCGCCCAACCATCTGTGCCCTTTGGTGGCACTTCCTGTCAGCCTGTTGTCCAGTCAGTAAGATGGTGCTCACTTGTTTGTAAAAGTTCCAGCCTGGACACTGATAATCGCATTTGCCCAGCTGCTAACCACTAGGCTGCCCGCTCCCAACCTCAGGAGCAAGGAGCGCTCTCCATCTCCACTCTATGGCCATTGGGTAAAATTTTCTCCATGCTCCTGTTTGGCTGTTTGGCTATTTGTGAACAGCTCTAGTGGACCCATACATGTCCCAGAAGGCTCAGCTTTCTTCTCTGGAATGGGAGTGTCAATCACTGCCTACAACAGAACCCTCAGAACCACCCATGAGCATGGCAGCAAGGAACCATACAGAAAGTTTTCTGGAGTCTGTGAGCAAGTGTGACTGCTCTTACTAGCGCCCAGCTCACTGGAGCCATGGCTCTGCTCCAAGGGGCAGCCTATGGCTTGCTCTCAACTCCCTGCCCCCACCCTCCTTAGGTGGGCAGCGTTCATTCATCCCTCACACCCTCACGTTGGAGAGGCATTGGCGCATTGCATTTAGGAGGCTAAAAACACTGGGGGATCACCAATCCAAAGTTACCAGGGGAAGGGGGAGGCAACTTCCCGCATAGCTCTTGCATTTCAGACAGAGAATACTTACTAAACGCATCTACTGCCTTCGTCACATTGTTCTGGGCAGACCTGGAAAGGTAAAGAAGACCGTTTGCCCCCAGCAAAGCGAACAAAAGCAACACGCGACTAATGGCCACCCCACTCCCGTCTACATTTGTAAAATCTATGGCCTCAGTCAGGTTTGATGGCACAGTCCCTTAATTAAGTCACCTCTTCAGAGTCACAGGCAGGTGGACCTGGGGAGTTCAAGGCCAGCTCGGTCTACACAGTGAGTTCCAGGCCAGCCAGTTACTTGGTGAGACCCTGTCTCAAACCAAGCCATACCTTTGGCTCTATGTGGCCTGCCAAATAATCATAACGATTCTAGTGTTCTCTGATGTGATGGAACAGTCTTGGTCCTGGTCTTCAGGGTGCTTAACGTGCTTCCCAGAACCTCCTCATTCTGAACAACGGGACAGGACTTTCTCCTAATGCACTTATTACACACACTCACTCATCTGCCTCCTTTTCTAAAAGGACACAGTAAAACAGAAAACTTTGTTGCTTTTGTATATACAAGTGTTGTTCACCCTTAAAAGCTCAAACTCAAACCTAGGATCAAATCCAGGCTTTGCACACATACTCTAACCTGCCCTCTCCCCCCAGATGCATATTCTTTTTTTGTTGTTGTTTGTTTTTGTTTTTTTTTTTTTTGTTTTTCGAGAAAGGTTTCTTGGAGCCTGTCCTGTAACTAGCGCTTGTAGACCAGGCTAGCCTCGAACTCACAGAGATCCGCCTGCCCCTGCCTCCCGAGTGCTGGGATCAAAGGCGTGCACCACCACCACCCAGCTGTTTTCAAACTGTCAGAGAGGATCTGGTTGCTCCATCTCCCACTGTTCTTCTCATGAAGACAGGAACCTTCCAGTGATCAAATTCTTTAAAACTGTGACTGTCTGGGGCTGACAAGATGGCTCAATGGGTAACAGCCTTGATACCAAATCTGATGACCTGAACCTGTGGGACCCACAATAGTGGAAAGAGCTGACTCCTAGGTGTCCTCTGACCCAAGTCTCCTATGTCACAACACAAGAATGCCTACACAAGTACACATACACACAATTACATACATGTATTAAAAATTAAAAGGGGCTAGACAGACTACTTAGTGGCTAAGACCAGTGGCTGCTCTTCCAGAGGACCCAGGCTCTATTCCCTGGACTCACATGGTGACTCACAACCATCCATAATTCCAGGAGAACCAATGCCCTGTCTGGCCTCGGGGCACACACAGAACAGATACACATGTAGGTAAAACATCCATACACATGAAATACAACAGTTTTTTTTAATTTAAAAATTAATCAATAAAGATCTCCTGACATAAAGACAAAAATATGACTACCCTGAGTCCCACAGTTAGGACACTCTGGTGTTCTCTGCAATATTTGCAAAACAAAGGCCCAGAAGTCTCCTGTGTAGGAGACAGTTCAAGACGAGAGCAGGCTAAGCAGGCTGAGCAACGTTCCTAAGAACTACAATTTGCCAGGGATGCACCACACCCGTCTCCAATTTCTGCTAGCTAACGCTAGAACATAAGAGTGCTGAGAATCCAATCCCAGACATCACTTTTATGGCTTGACTGTCATCAGCAGTCTGCCACTATCAGAAACCCTACATGTATAACTGTATGTATGTAACATACAGACTGTATGTAACATATACTCAACCCAAGGCCCTCCTTTCCTTCACTTTAAACACTTTCAGTGCATGTCCGTCTGTCTGTCTGAGAGTATCACATGTCAGCTGTGGTAAACAGTCTAGTAATCCCTGGACCGCGACTCCTCAAAATCTATTCAAACACGAAGAAGAATGCTCCAGGCATCTTACTCAGGGGCTTCCATGTCCTGGTCATCGCAAGACTCTTCTTCTCCAAGGACATTCTCAGAGTCCGGTTTCCGAATAAGAAAGAACAGAACAGTTCCCACGAGACTTATCACCGTCAGGGCAATGAACACTGTCCTTCGGTCCTTCTCTAGGGACAAAAGCAGAGAGTGGACGGCGCTGGTGAAACAATGCCAGTTAGTGCCATGCCCACTGGTCATTTCTAGGCAGCAAAACACACTACCTCATTACATTTTTATTATTCAAGGCATCAGTAATGACTTAGGAAGAAATAGCCTCTTCTATGTTGCTCTTCCAGCCAGAGGAAGGCCAAAGAAGCAACAGCGCAGGACAGAGCCTCTCCCCTAACTACGGGAGGCCCAGATCCAACAACCCAACACTCCCAGAGCCTCAGGGGCCTGGCGAGCCTGTGCACGCTCAGCACGGCCTTCTCACTTACTGGGAGGTGCCCTGCAAAGCACAACCATGAACCCTGACCTTCACTTAAGGAACGAGAGGCAAAAGCTTATGAAAAAGCAAGTGTCTGAAGGAACTTCAGGGTGCTAAAGCTCACAGGAGTGACAGGACAGTGAAGAAGACCAACCTGAAATTTGAGTTTTCCCTTGCCAGGCAAAATATATGTAGAGATTTCCAAAGAACAAGCTGTGGGGGAGAAAGGGAGAAGATGCTGGGGAAATCACTGGAATCCTTGGCAGGGGTGGGGTGTGTGTGTGTGTGTTACGTTTACTTATGTATTTACTCGTAACAGGGTCTCTGGCTGGCCTGGAACTCAGATCTATCTGCCTCTGCCTCTGCCTCCAAGTGCTGGGATTAAGACGTGGGCCACTGTGCCCAGCTCATGCTTAAAGCTTTTAAAATGTCACTCCCAGTATTTCAAGAGGGGGAAGAGGAAAGCGACAAGGGGGGGAGGGGTGATTTTAAAGAACCTGCCTGTCCTAGGTTACAAGTATCAAAGCCATGTGACTTTTATGAGACGTTAATCAACCCAGAAGCATGTGACAGTAAGCTGATTCAGCACCGCCCTAGAGGACTTGACTCACTTTGTTTGATACATGTGACTTAATGGGACTCTCCAAGTAAACTGGAAACAAACTTATGCTACTTGTAAAATCCTAAAATTTATGGACTCTGTGAACAAGCTTGTGATTTAGATATCCACCTCTAACTGGCAGACTGTCCTGAGGAATGGCCACTTCACTGATTGTCCAGTTTCTTCATCTCTAAACCGGTAAGACTAAACTGCACCAGGCATGGTAAGATGCACCTACAGTCCCAGCTACTTGGGAGGCTTGAAGCAAAATGGTGAGGAGTTCAAGACCAGCCTAGTGAGACTCCCAATCAGCTTCTACCAAAACACACGCGCAGGCACGCACATACACGCACGCAGGCACGCACATACACGCACGCAGGCACGCACATACATGCACGCAGGCACGCACATACACGCACGCAGGCGCCCCCACCACCATCAACTAAACATTCAATTTTATTACATTTAGTTGTTTGCATATGGGAGGTGTGTCAGTGTTACAGTATAAAAGTGAAGAACAGCTGTTCTCTCCTCCTACAGTGTGGGTCTAGGATAGAACTCAAGTCCTCAGCTCTGGTAGGAAGCTCTTTTATCTGAGGAGCCACCCCCGAGTGCTCCAGGCTAGCCCTGAACTCACTGCAATCTCCCTGGCTCTATCTGAGTGCTGCAATTACAGGTCCATGCCATGCTCCAAGCTCTTCAGGACACACAGTGAAACCCAAGAGTCCTAAGCAGAGTGACTGTTGCTGCTGCTGTACCCTCCCTTCCTTCCTCTCTCTCTTTTTTGTTTTTCCAGACTGGGTTTCTCTGTAGCTTTGGAGGCTGTCCTAGAACTAGTTCTTGCAGACCAGGCTGGTCTCGAACTCACTCTGTCTCTCTAGTGCTGGGATTAAAGGCATGTGCTACCTGCTCTTTTCTGGGGAACATCTACTATGCTGTGCTGTTAGGAAGAAGTTCTGCTGCTCTCCCTTCTGAATTTGGTGTGTTTATTAATAGATGTCCGACAGCCCAGCTAGGCGGAAGGGCATGGCTAAAGGACTCCTGATAACCATATTTACATGGGTTAACTTTCAGTCTCCATTTTCTCATCTGTAGCACACAGATAACGCCTCCTAAGTTTGTGTGAAGGCCTAAAATACAGAGGATGCTAAATACATGGAGGTTAATATTTTGTTCCCTAACTTTAAATTTTAGTAAAAGTCGCATCAATTTGTAAATTATGAATCTGTACCCCACACAATAAAGTGCTAGTAAATGATGCCATAAAGAAACCCCTGGACAGACTGAGCTCCAAAGAGATTACCTAGACTGTAAGAGTGCCCAGAAAATGCCGCTGTTTCTCCCGATTGTGTGCTCATCGGAATTTATTGTCAGGCAGTTTCCTTGTGCTGTCCAAAGCACTAAAATTCAAACCAAAAACTCATCAAAGAGAGGATATCAGGCTGTTTCCCGTGCATCATGTAATCAGCACCTGTACCCCGGGGAAAGCAGGTAAAAGGCGATCGATGCTCACCAGCAGCTGCAATTCCAATGAAAACAGACGCCGTGTAGAAGGACCATGGGAAAGGCTGGATAAAAACGGCAATGTACATGCTAAAATACAACAGGTCAGTGCATTACAGTCAAACAGTATGTGAAACAGAATGATGAGCACGCTGCCAGGGGCCAGCTCAGAGGTTCTCAGCCTCAACTTCCACCTGGAAAGCACTTTCACGGTTTGGGTTTTTGGAAAGGGATGAATGAGAACTGGTTTTGAATTTCTTTTCTTTTTCTTTCTTTCTTTCTTTTTTTGTCCCCAGAATAGAGATCAAGCTCAGACCTCTGTGTGTGCCAGGCGAATGCTCTGCCATGGAGCCTTCTGTATCCCAATCCACTTATTGCTGTTTACCATCTCAAGCTTGTAAATACAGATTTCACAGGTTTGCAACAGCTTCTGCCATGAGCTCGATGCAGGATGAAGCTTAAATCTGCTCACCAACTTAACAGAAAAAAACCTTATTTCATAGAAGGTTCTTTTCAACCCTAACAGAAAAAGAGTTTTTGCATTCTAACTATTAATAGTGAGACAAAAGCTGATATCCGCCAGACAGACTTGCAGGAGCCTGATGATAATACCAAATGATGATAATACCATACTCTGAAGGCTAAGCCAGGAGGATTGCCAGTTCAGGGCCAACCTGAGTCTGGGCTATAGTGAGACCCTGTGTCAAACACAAATCCAACTTGACACACATTCATCAGTTAGAAATACAGTGTTCCTGAACAGAAAGCACCAAATTCCCAAAACTACTTTCTGCTGTGCTTGAAAAATGTGTGTTCTAAATTAAACACGGAGGGGGGGAAAAGAACTAAGTACTCACCTGTAAAACAAGCCGCTGACAAACATAGAGATTTGAGGTCCTACGATGGTGACCACGGAGGGAGTGATCAAATTTGAAGCAGAGAACACGCCATAAATAATTGCCAAGCTGCTCACACAATGTACAGAAGGGAAAAAGAACAAAGCCCTTAAGTAACATCTCAAAAGTTCACTTTTAAAATTCCAATTAGGACCAGCCTGACAGTTCATCGGGTAAAGGCACCTGGTGTCATGCCTGACGACCTGGCGTTCAGTCCCCAGAACCTACACTGTGGAAGGGGAGAGCCAACTCCTGAAAGGTTGTTCTCTGACCTCCATGCTCCCATGTGTTAGGTGGGCACTCATATATACATGCACAAAATAAGATAATGTAAAATTCTATTCATAATACGTACATCTTATAATTTTACAAAAAACTCCATAGACTTTAGTCAGAATTTATATGTATATCCTTGAAGACCACATTGAAGTTCTCACTTGTGTGGCATACAGAAATACATATTTACTTTGTAAATGTATTAGTTATTGGTAGATGGGTAGAGTTTGTATGGAGACAGGGTCCTAATATGTAGCCCTGGCTGGCTTGAGACCGCACAGCCCAGACTGAGTCTGAACCCATGGCAATCCTGCCGCAGTCTCCGAAGTGCTAGGGTCACAGGCATACAACCCAACACTGGCTGGTTTTTGTTTGCTATCACAGGGTCTGGTCTCAAACCTGCAGCAACACTCCTGGCTGTCTTCCTAGGACACTGCTGGGATTACAGGCAAGCACTACCATGACTGCCTTGTATTAAATATGCGCATCATGTTTCCTTCAGCAAGTTTGCCTGTAACATGATTCCAGGTACCGCCTTTAATAACAGTGAACATTAGCGAGCAGCGTGCCGAGGAATACAGGTACTTCCTCTCTTCAATCTAGATGCTACAGAGAAGGCTTTACATACTTCATAAAAATAGAAATTGTTGTGAATAAGTTGCCTTGGTTCAACCAGTGTGAGGTAAGTGTGGATCCAGCCCTGGAGAGCTGATCCAGGGGTCTAGGTCTAGCAGTCTGCTCCACTACAACTCCTGGTAGCTGACTGGGTTTCTTTGCTACAAATGACAAGCGGAGTTAGAATTTATTTTATCCATCTAGACATTTTTCAGTTACACCTCAGCCCTATTACATATACACAATTTGGTTATATGTATTACACACATACACACATATTATCTATATAGATAGTTGTTATAGCACTATATAGCCAGGGCTGGCTTTAATCCACAATTTTCCTGCTTGAGCCTCCCATGTTCTGGGATTACAAATATACACGGCATGCCTAAAAACCGTACTACATATATCGATCCCGCACCTCTGCCTCCGAAATCCTGAGATTAAAGGCTACACCAATTTTCCTTGCTTACACTCATCTTGAACAGAGTGGCACTAAAGCCATCTTGAGGGTCCCGAGTTCATTTATTAGGCAGTGCTTAAATCTGTAAATTCAAAGTAAATGTTGCTTTGGCTTCCATAAGCTGCTCAGACAGTAAATGTATTCTTTTGTTTGTTCTTTAAAATACACAAGAGACACAGCACTCCAAGCTCCAACAGCACTCACCACCTACAAATGGACACTAACTTCTTCCCCTCACATACCATATACTAGATTCAGGTAATAATACATACATTTTGGGCTGGGTGGTGGTGGCACACGCCTTTAATTGCAGCACTCAGAAGAGAGGCAGACAGACACATTTCTGAGTTCAAGGCAAGCCTGATCTACAGAGCGAGTTCCAGGGCAGGTAGAGCTACACAGAGAAACCCTGTCTCAAACAAAACAAAACAAAACAAAAAAAAAAAAAAAAAAAAAAAACTCTTGAAACTGGGGGACAGGGTAACAGCAAACATATAAGCACAGAGAAATTAAGAAAAGTGGCCAGGCATGGTAATGCATGCTGTGATCCCAGTACGGGTTCCAGGCCAGACTGGGCTATGGGGTAAGATCTTATTTCTCTTTCTAAAGTTTTTAAATCTATAGAATGTGTATAACTCAATTTCACAATACCAAAATGTATACATACTAGAGATAAACATGTACAATTCTTGTCAACTAAAAAAAGTCCTGCTTTTGCCAGGCAATTGTCACACACACACATACACCTTTGATCCAAGCACTCGGGAGGCAGAGGCAGTCGGATCTCTGTGAGTTTGAGGCCATCCTGGTCTACAGATCGAGTTCCAGGACAATATCCAAAGCACAGAGGAACTCTGAAGGCAGGCTTTTCATCCCAAAGTCTAATTCTACAGAAAACGTGATGTCATTGTCCTAAAAAAAAAATAAAACAAACAAAAAGAAAAACCAAAAACAAACAAATAAACAAAAAACCCTACCATCACAGTTACTTATTTTGGGGGATAGAGGCATTCCTGGCTTATCAAATTTTATGGTCATATTTTAAAATTTATGTATATGTAAGCATGTGTTCCTGTGTGGAAGTCACATGACTTCTGCAGGAATTGGTTGTCTGGTTGTCTCCTGCCTTGTAGGCTCTGGGGATTAATTCTCGGGGTTTCGAATAAAATCAAATGTAAGTACAAGAGGATTTACTACAGCTCAGTTATAACCCTTTATTGCTGGCTTTCCTGAAGAGATGTATGGAATGATAACATGCGAAGTAAAATCATGCACAGTAAGTACAATACCTGGTATATCCACTGCCATGAAAATCTGTGCTATTTAAGCTTCTGATGACAGTTTGCTGTGTGGAAGATAAAACTAATCAACGAAAACGCCTTGACTTCTCCCTCCCCGTTGGAAAGCCTAAGTACTCGGAAATACTTATGATTCACTACCTACCACCCAAGCCCATCACGAGAGGAGAAAAAGAACACTCAATTTCGGAACAAAACCCTGAGACGGGGAATCCGCAACCACACGTACCCACACTGGGTTCTAGTGCCTCAACCACTCAAACACTAAACGGAGAGTTTAATGTAGACAAGAACTAAAGTAACTATGGCCAATAACCAAACTCCAAGCCGCATCTGAGTAATAAACGCCAGTGTCCAACACCCCGTAAAGGAGAAACGTCTGACATATGAAATCAAACTAAATCGCAGAAAACAAGGAAGGGTAGATTGAAAATCAGGAGATGCAATCTTGGCGTGGTAGCGGACATCCATGTTTATTGTCACTTTTAGAGAGCACTCTGCTAGGCATTTCAAAGGAGGGAGGACAAATTCCAACTCACCGCCACATTTCCACAAGTTTGAAAGGCGGTGAACATAAACATAAAGGCAACTCCTAGAATGATGATGTTGAAAAGCTTTTTAGATTCCGGGGACATTCTGGCTCCTCTTGGTCGGAGGGCAGCAGCGGCCCAGGGCAGTCACCTCTCCTCCTCCAGCCGAAGCCCCTGACAACCCTGAGGGAAGAAAGGACATGAGAGCCAGGCAGCCAGAGTGCCGATTTCCAGTCCTCGAACGGGAAACGCGGGCTTACGAGAAAGTTCTCCCCACCCGCACGGTTCCGACACTCCCGGGACGCGGCCGGGTGGGCAGGGGAGCCGGAGCCCGCACGCAGCAACTAGTTACTAGGAGGTGGATCCGGGCAAGGACAATTAGCAGCAGCCACCGGGGCCGCCCTCCCGGCCTGACTCACAGCGGATCACGAGACCGGTCAGCTGACCGCAATGGAGGCGCAGGGCCCGCCGGGAAATGTAGTCCCGGGTGGGTGGCCGCGGGGTGGGGCGGGGCGTTACGTCTGCGCAAGACGGCGAGCGCGTGCCTCAGTCCCCGTCCCTGGGGCGGGGGGGGGGATGAGCCCGTGTGCAGCGAGCTGAAGACGGGAACGGCGGGGAGGGGGGACTGCGAGGTGGCCGGGGACGCAGAGTGGAGTGGCGGATGGGGGCCTGCGACAGAGGCGGGGCAGGGGGCTGGGCAGGAAGGTGCGTGGAGCTCGGGTATTGGCGTGGGGAAGGAGGCGGGGTCCGGAGGGGAGCGGCTGCCCCCTCCCCCCTCGGCGGGCGTCGCCGGCGGGAAGAGCATTTGGCGGGCTTTCTAACTGCCTTCCCGGGCCGCTGCCCCTCCCCGCCGCAGTGACTGCGCGCTTTCTGCCCGCCCGCCGCGCTCTGCGCAGGCGCGCGCGGGCGGGGCGGGGCGCGCGGCGGCGACGTTACGGAGCGGGGCAGGATGAGCCAATCAGGAGATTCATTTCCGGGTGGCGCGGGCGCCATTTTGTGAGGCTGGGTATAAATAGGCGGCGGGGCCGGCCCGCCCGTTCAGTTGCTGCGGGGAGCCTGTGCGGCGGGCTCGCACCGTGACGGCCTTGCGGCTCCCGGCTCTTCCACGCGGACGGCCACTGCCGAGAGAGGCGCGGCTTCCCGCCGCCGCGGCCAGGGGAGTCCGCGGTTCCTGCCGAGGGCCGGGGCCGGCTCAGGGCGTTCGGGTCTCGGCGCCAGCTCACTCGCGGGGCCCCGGGCCGCCTCACAGCCATGAGCTACGGCCGCCCCCCTCCCGACGTGGAGGGCATGACCTCCCTCAAGGTGGACAACCTCACCTACCGCACCTCGCCCGACACGCTGAGGCGCGTCTTCGAGAAGTACGGCCGCGTCGGGGACGTGTACATCCCGCGGGACCGCTACACCAAGGAGTCCCGCGGCTTCGCCTTCGTCCGCTTCCACGACAAGCGCGACGCCGAGGACGCCATGGACGCCATGGACGGGGCCGTGCTGGACGGACGCGAGCTGCGGGTGCAGATGGCGCGCTACGGCCGCCCGCCCGACTCGCACCACAGCCGCCGGGGCCCGCCGCCCCGGAGGTACGGCGGCGGCGGCTACGGGCGGCGGAGCCGCAGGTGAGCGGGGCGGGGGCCCGGGGGCGGCCGGGCCTGGCGGGCGGGCGGGCGGGCGGGCGCACAAAGGTGCGCGGAGCACGTGCAGCGGCCCCTCCCTCGCGGCCCGGGCCACAGCGCGCCAGACCCCGCCTGGCGGCGAGGGAAATGGCGCCCGGCAGCCAGATAATGGCGGCGGGGCGGGGGGATCGGGCGGGGCCGGCCCGGCGGCCTGCGGCTGACACTATCGCCCGCCCATCCGCAGCCCTCGGCGCCGTCGCCGCAGCCGGTCCCGAAGCCGCAGCCGCTCCAGGTCCCGAAGCCGCTCTCGGTACAGCCGCTCCAAGTCTCGGTCCCGCACTCGGTCGCGCTCGCGCTCCACCTCCAAGTCCAGATCTGCGCGGAGATCCAAGTCCAAGTCCTCGTCGGTCTCCAGGTCCCGCTCGCGGTCCAGGTCCAGGTCGAGATCCAGAAGTCCTCCCCCCGTGTCCAAGAGGGAATCCAAGTCCAGGTCGCGCTCGAAGAGCCCCCCCAAGTCTCCAGAGGAGGAAGGAGCCGTGTCCTCTTAAGAAAATGGTAATGTCTGCAGGAACCCGAGGCACGCCCTGAGTCCCCCGGGGTGTGAAGTA